TACAATCCAGTCCTAGGGAGTCCACTATCCTCCCCATCTCGCACATGCTAATGAGGCACCGATGTTGTTGGCGCTATAATTCCACACCGACGGCATGCAGAACAAAATTATTGTTCCGCAGGTAGACGAGAACTCACCGGCTCCCACGACAAATGTCGATATGTCAATCCGAAGGATCATATAATGGAGAAGAAGGTGGTACTGGGTCAGCCACACCTAAATGTCCGCCCTAGCCGACGGAAAACCCAAATAGGCGATGTTGTTGTATCCGGCTTCATGAAGACACGAGCAACTCCCTACTTCCACGGATGAAAACATAAACATGTCCACCCGATCTCGTCGCTGTAGTTGATGTTGCATGCACCACCGAAACCAGAAATGAAGCCAGATGTGTCGAAGTAATGGGCCACGGGTAGCCTGACCTGAGCCCCAGAACCTTTCAAGACATCGGGGCAGGCCGCGCCTCTCAAAGCCGAGTCTCAGATGACGACTCCCAGATGAATCGAGTCTCAGATGACGACTCCCAGATGAGCCGAGTCTCAGATGACGACTCCCAGATGAGCCGAGTCTCAGATGACGACTCCCAGATGAACCGAGTCTCAGATGACGACTCCCAGATGAACCGAGTCTCAGATGACGACTCCCAGATGGGCCGACTCATGGCCGGCGACTTCCACAGGAGCCGGCTATGGAGAGTCGGCCCGCGACTCTACGCTCATTGCGGGTACAACCGCGACGTGGCCGTCACCTCCTGCTTGTGAGGAGCCGGCATGGCTACAGTGTACCGTACCGCCGGAGATCTCCGGCGTGGCCCGACACTGTAGCCGCGCCAGACCTGACCTCGGCCACAGTGCGTGGCGCACTGTGGTCACGATGGCCTACCTATACGGCTCAGAGACGGCGGACCCGCCAGTCAGTGAGAGCTAGAAGACGGCGGGTACGCCCCGGAGGCGGCCCCGTGGGAGTCGGCACCCTGGAGTCGGCCAGCCCCTCTCACGGGTCCCACGTGCCATTAACCAGACAAGATGGGGAGTAACGACAGTGATCGCCCGATAGACGGCGACACTGTTGCCACGACCCAATGACCAAGCTTGCGTCATCAGAGGCACGGCTACAGTGCCGAACTCGCCGGCGGGGCCCGCGAGTCGGCGGGCCCCATCAATCGGCGGAGAAGACGGCGGCCTGTGAGACAGATGGCCGGGACCCGCGCCCAGCCGGATTACCATTGTATCCCCGGGGGGTAGGCCTATATAAACCCCCCGGGGCACCCATGCAAAGGGTTGGCATCCATTAGCCTTAGACCAGATCACATAGGAAGAAGAAGGCTAGCCTTGCCTCCTTCCACCTCCAGAATACAGCTCTAGGAGCGACCTTGTAGTCACTATGCTTTAGTGATCATGCGGAGACCCCGCAGAGCAGCAGTAGGGGTGTTATCTCCCCGGAGAGCCCCGAAGCTGGGTAAGATTCGCCGGCGTGCATGCCTTCGCCTAATCCCGTTTCCTGGCACCGGCGACGTTCTACTCGCTGCCACCATGATAAGCCATCCTTTGGCATATGTCGCACCCAACCCCCAACATTTGGCGCCCAGCGTGGGGCGAGGTGCACCGTCGTCCGGAGACCTGCTTTGGACGGGAACCCTTGTCCTCCCCCGCGAGCGTAGCCAGCCCGGCACGCCCGATGGCACTTGCCCTGACGCACTGCAGAGCGTCGATGACGCCTGCGCGGCGAGCTGCCTCGCTGACCTTCTCGGCGAGGTTAGCATCTCCGACGAGCCTGCATCCGATGCAGGCACGGGCGGCCCCGAAAGCCTCCTCGCAGGCCTCCTCGACCATCTCCACGTCGCTGGCGAGCCTGCCGTGGACTTGGAGTCCGTAGGCTCCACCGACCCGATGCTGGTCGACTCCGACGGCGTGTCGCTCGACACGTTCCCCTCCAACGTGGTGATCTACGACGAGCCGCTCCCTCACGAGGCGAGCGGCGGAATCGCCATCACAGAAGTGCTCGTCATCAGTCATGGCGAGCGCTCCGGTGAAGGAGCTCATGACCCGCTCGACGCGGCTCTACGAGACCTGACGGCGCCCATTCAGGAGGACGCTGACGCCGAGACGCTGGAGGCACGCCGCCTTCAGCTTGTCGAAGGCGCGAAGAAGCTGGCAAGCATGAGACGCTTGTCGGAGGCCTACCAACGTGAGATGGATCGCGCTGTGGGCGGCTCACCAGCGCCGACTGGGCCTAGCCGCCTAGGCGCGGTCCGACAACGCGGCGCGGCCGTCACCAACCTATTCGGGGCCGATCGCCCCGTATATGCCACGCCTGCGGAGAACACCCGTGCCGCCCAGGCGGCAGCAGACGAGCTAGACAACTTCGAAGGCGAAGAGCGCCACCTAATGACCGAGCGAATCCAGCGACTCCTCAAAGCGGCTGCCGCACAGAACGAATCCGGCTGCCGCACGGAGGCGCCGCAGCGACAAAATGATGACTTACCTCCCCGCCGAGATCAAGGCACGACGTCTCGGACGCTGACTGGCGGAGTCCGCGGAAGAAAAGAGAAGGATCCGGCTGTCAGCCACAGTCAGACTCGCATCACCATCGAGCGCGACCAAGACGGCCGCCCAAGAGCAGTGGAGCGGCAGGGCGACTACCTGCCTCCCCCACCATGAAGGGAAAGACGAGTCTCCCCACCACCTATCGATCATCCGACTCTCGGCGACCGCCTCGGCCGTCGAGAGGGAGTCGGAGAGAATGACGCACGCCACCGGATCGACCGACTCCACCGATCCCTGGCGCTGGAAGAAGAAGACGAGCTGGGTCCACCCTGCTTTGGGCCCCGCATTCGAGATGAGCCCTTCCTCAAAGGATTCACGCTCCCCCGAGACACACCCAAGTACACCGGCTCCGTGAAGCCGGAAGATTGGCTGGTTGACTACTCCACAGCCGTCAACATAGCAAACGGCAACAAGCGTGTTGCCGTGAAGTACGTTCCGCTAATGCTCCAGGGCACGACCCGGACATGGTTGAACAGCTTGAAGCCCCGCAGCATCAACAGTTGGGTCGACCTCACCGAAGCTTTCATCCGCAACTTCACCAGCACGTACAAGCGGCCTCCCAAGCCACGACAACTCTCCTTGTGCGTGCAAGGCCAAGACGAGTTGACACGCGACTACCTCACGCGATGGGGCGAGCTTCGGAACTCCTGCGAGGGCGTGCACGAGGTGCAGGCTATCGAGTACTTCACCGCCGGGTGCAGAGAAGGCACCCTCCTCAAGCACCGGCTCCTCTGCGACGAGCCCGAGACCCTCGACGAGTTGCTGGTCATTGCAGACCAGTATGCCACCGCCGACTCCTCCATGAAGACAGAGATTCAAGTTAGTGCGACTGGCAAAGTGGCCCCTCAGGCTCCCAGAACTCCGGCTGGAGATACCAGTCAGCGACAGCAGCAGAATGATCACAAGCGCAAGGCCCCGCAGCCGACTCCCAGCAGTCGGCATGTCGCGACAGTCGAAGACCAACAGCCTGAGGGGCAGCCTCCGGCAAAGCGGCAGAAGGGTGGCAAGTCCAACTGGTTGTCGACCTTCTCTTATGAGCAGACTTTGGATGGTCCCTGCAAGTTCCACAGCGGCGCG